TGTTGCCCCCGCGCCTCGCTCAGCCAGTGAGCGGGAACTGGTCTGCATGTGGGATCCGAACCCTCGGCAGGAGCGCAGCCGCACTTCCCAAGCGATGCACTAGTGCAGTGCGCCACCGGGCCGGTCCCAACCTTTTTCTTTTTTAATTAAAGAACAATTCTCCGAAGAAGCAAAAGTCCATCTGAGTATTATGCAAACAATATATTTATTATTTTTTTTTATATTTTACTTCTCAAAATACATTGTACTTGATTTTCATGCCCCTCTACCTTTTTCTCTCCACCACCCCCCCCCTTCATATCTGTTCACTTGACTTAAATAGTTCAAGGAATTTTTGTGGTTATTCTGTCTTCTTCCCCACCCCCCACCTTTTATTTGTGCAAACAATATATTTAAATAAAATGTTTAAAGTTTTAACTCTATACTATCTGGAAGTTTTCAAGTTTTTTTCATTTTTTTTTTTTTGGCGTCTGGCTGGTACAGGGATAGAACCCTATACCTTGGTGTTATCAGCACCATGCTCTAACCAACTGAGCTAACTTTAGGCCAGCCCTCAAATTTTAATAGAAACCAATTGTTGGTCTTGGTTTTAAACATAATAGCCAAGTTATTTACCTATAACTTTTTCTTTCTTTAACTACTGAGCTTACTCAGAAGTCTACACAATGAAACGTCAATCAAAAGCAATTTGAAGATCTGGGATAATTTTTTCTAAGCGCATGTGTAGAAAAATTAACACAGCAGGCCTGAGAGGGTTATCCTTAGAAAAGCCTGCCTGCAAAGCTAGCCTTTGGCTAGCATCTGAGAACTTGGGTTTCAGGAGGGTTCCCACCACCCAGAACTGAGAAGAGTGGCTCCTGTCCTAAACTGTTTATGCAAACAATATGGTTTATGCTGAACACCTGCCTTCCTTCTAGAAGTCTAGAATCTTGGTTATTTCTAACGAGACAGGGGTCCCATGTGACAAGCCTCTAGTAAAAATTCTGGATACTGGCTCTAATGAGCTTCCCTGGTAGACAACATTTCACTCCTGTTGTTATGATCTGTTGCTGGAAGAATTAAGTGCATCCTGTATGACTCCACTTGGAGAAGACTCATGAAGTTTGTGCCTCGTTCCTTTTCCTTTTACTAATTTTGCTGTAAGAAATCATAGCTGTGAGTATGACTATATGCTGTCTGAAAGTTTTCAGAATCAAAGTAGAGTCACTGGCATTTAAAAAACACAAACAAATAGAGCTAGGGAAGGACATGAAGGGATGTGTTCTCATGCCTAAATCCCTGAAAACAAGAACTATCACAAAAAATTCTGCAAAACCACAACCTTACACAAAGGCCACTGCAACCTCACACAAAAAAATACTTCTACAAGGACATCTGTCCAGCACTGCTTGTTCAACCTTGGACTGGTGACATGCTTGTTATTGATCCTTATAACCAAAGATAATTACCCCATAACAATTACGTGATCTGCCATAAGTTCTTCTAAAAACTGTTGTCTTCCTTTTCCTCCCTGAATACCCACATGGTTTACTATGGAACATATATTCTCATTGCAATGCCTTACTCCCGATTAAACTCATTTTTCTTTCAAAGGGCTTCTCTCTGTTTGTTATTCAGTTTGACGGCTGTGTCCTGTGAGTCCTCCTAGAGAATCTCCAAACCAAGGTTGGTTTTGGGAACCCTTGACACAGTGCATACCCTTTACATATCCCTGACGATAACTGCATTTTAATATTTACAAAAATCATGCTGGGATTTTCCCTTTGTTTGTACAACTGAGTTAACTATAGTTTCAGTAATTCTGAATAAAGAAGCTCCTCACTTACGATGAGATTGTGTCTCAATAAACCCATCATAAATTGGAAATATCATAAGTTGAAAATGCATTTAATACACCTACACTACCAAACATAGCTGAGCCTGACCCGCCTTAAACATGCTCAGAACACTTACATTAGCCCACAGTTAGGCAAAATCATCTAACACAAAGCCTATTTTATAATGAAGTGTTGGATATCTTATATAATTTATCTAATACTGTACTCAAAGAGAAAAACAGGGCTGGTCAGTTAGCTCAGTTGGTTAGAGCACGGTGTTGTAACACCAAGGTCAAGGGTCTAGATCACCGTACTGGCCAGCCGCCAAAAGAAAAAATAGTTGTACATACTTGAAGTATAGTTTCTACTAAATATGCATCCCTTTTACACCATCATAAAGTCGATTAAGTCAAAAAATCATAAGTTGAGACACCTGAAAATAAACTATTGAGTATTATAAAGAAAAATAAATTGAAAAGAAAGTTTCTTTCTAAGATGATGGAAATTTAATTTACTTTGTCATTTCTGAACATTACATTGATTTTTCCAAAGAACTCTTAGAAATATTATATACACGAGACAGATTACATTTTCCAAAATGGCCCCATCAAGAGGTGGAGGGCATGTCCCCCACCCTTGAAACTATGTGGGCCTTTGTGACTGTCTCTATCAGTAAGTACAGCAGAAGTGATCCTATGTGACTTCTGAAACTACGTTATAGAAATGCCTCCAACTTCCACTTCGTTTTCCTGGAACCCAACCACTGCACTGTGAGAAAGCCCAAGCAGCAACAGATTACTTATACAGTATATTAAATTATTTAAGAAAACTAATACTTTTAATTCTGGTATAATTTAAAATAAACTATTAAACATCTGACAATTTCCCCCCAAAATGATCTCAATTAATAGTGTATATTATCTACTGGGTGTTCTAAATCTGGGCTTATTATTTGTGTTACCACTGTGGTTTGTTTTTTAAGGCAGGGTCAAATCTAGATAGAACTGCAGACTATTAAAAGCCTTACTGTCAATCATTCCCATCATGAACTTCAGGAATTTTGTTCTATTAGTTAAAAAGACTTATACTCATTTTTTTTACTCTCTCTCTTTCCATCTTTTTTTTTTTTTTTTTTGGTAAGTAAACCACAAGCTGCCTTT